AGTGGAACGCTTGGAACATACAGCGCTGGTGGTAGCTCGTGCTCGTAAGAGTTTCATCAGTAGGCAGTTTTTAGATGGAATTGATGATTTCGTGCCAAAATCGGGTGAGTTTTTCAACCGTAACTCAAAATATCATTTTATTTCCTGTAGCATTTAACTTTGTTTTAGAAAGAATTTTGTGCATCGCTCCTCCTGAACTCAGTGAGGAAATGAAAAAGCAACTCTCTGATAACCCAACAGCAACGGGTGTCGCCGATGAAGTTTTTCGCATGGTGGGTTCCCCAGTGCCAATCAAACGTTCAGTTCTCGTTCCCAGTTCGCGTTCAGACTTCGCGATCGGATCGCTCGAGCGATTGGATCGCGTGATCGGCTCGCGTTATTGGATCGCACGACTAGTGGGGCGCTCCATCGCAAACCATCGCAACGGCAATTCAAATTGGCACTGTATGAACTGCCCACTCTGAATTCTGCGGTTGCGGCAGTGCACCGCTGTGCTGAAGCGTTCCTGGTCGTGGTCGCATGATCCAGTCGCGAGCACTTCGATTTCGAAGTCTGAAAGCGTTTATAGGCGCTATACGTTTTAAGGGAGGCGTCTTACTAGTTTTCGTGGACGTGCATGAATGCAGTCTAGCCGTACATAGTCGAACTCGTGCCATTTCCTAAGCTTATGGGAGTTTAAAATTTTATCCAATCATTGTGCGACTTTTGTTCCATTTCGAAGCTTCACAAGGACTTGCGGATCTCTTCAAAGACTCAACGTACGCTGAGATGCGAGATGCATATCCGAGCCCCCGCTTTCAATGCGTAGTGGTTTCCCAGTCCGAACATGCGCGGGGATGGGGATCCAGGACCAAGGCATAGGATGATTCCTCCATGCTCCGCCTAAAATGTAACATGCGGCGCAGACATGCTGGATGGCGCTGCAATATCCCGATCCTGTTTATATTGACCGCCGTCCGCGCGGCGCTATCGCGCTCAGCGCTTCTGGCACTTTGCGCCAGTTAATGTGATTGCGTCGATTAACAATTAAACGCGAGCTCGCTGGTGCAGATAAAATTTGAGGTGCTTCTCATGCTGCAAAGTCCAAATCGATGATGATGACGAGGGCCAGAACTCTAGAGCGACTGTGGCCGCGTCTGCAATCTCCCTCGAGAGCCGCCCATTCCCACAAAGCATGGAATAAAAACGGCCTAAGGCGTCCTAATCGTTAATTCGAAGTCTTTTCATGGCTTCGGAGCCGGAGTCACGCCGAATCGCAGAAATTTACACCGGTTTTTACCTAATTAACGCTTAATTTTTTTATTCACATTTTATTTACATCTACATTAGTTGCTCTTCAATTCTAGCTTTCGTTATCTTCGATTCGTACTTTGCAGCATGAGCAACACCTCATATGTTATCCGCATCAGGAGTTTGCGTTTTGATTGTATTCGAAAGCGAAATTACATGACTTGGCAAAGTGACGGAGCGCTGCGCGAGACACGCGCCGCGCGAACGGCGGTCAGTATAAACGAGATCGGAATATTGTAGCGCCGTCCAGCATGTCTGCGCCGCAAGTTGCATTTTAGGCGGAGCATGGAGGAATTAGCCTATCCCACGTCCTGGATACCCATCCCCGCGCATGTCTGGACGGAAACCGCTACGCCTCGAAAGCTGGGGCTCGTTTGCCCGACACGCATCTCGCATCTAAGCATACGTTGTGTCTTTAATAAGTAAAACTGATGAAAAATGGACTAGCACTTTATCCTCCCCGTATAGCCGAGAGCACGCCATCATCCACGTTTGGCTCCCGTTGGTCTCATGTCTCCAACACGTGGGTCTATGTCTCAGGTTTTTTTCAGGAGATCCTGGCTGCAGGAAAATGGGAGCAGGAGCATCCGGTAGAAGTTGCTCCTGGTGAAGACGTTGATGATATAGTCGAAAGCGACGGTGGTAGTGATGAGAACGAGGAAGTGGAAGATGAAGTCGAGGATGAAGACGATCAGTGCGGAGTGAGTAGCCTTTATACTTCTTGCAAAAGGTGTAAGTCTCTTATGTATTTCTTGGCTTCTACGGTTATGGAAATCTGATCAGTTGAGTGTGGATTAATTAGTTTTTCCTGTAAAATGACTTAACATATGATTTTGAGAGGGAGAATTTGTTCGATGCCATGCTTTCTGTGAGGGCTAATCTGTGGTGGTAGTCATTCGTTTCTGGTGTCTCTTGCAACCTATTCCTAGTATTTCTCCCATATCATGGGTAGAGCCCTCAGGCATTGTGGAGCGAGTTCGTCTTAATTTTAACCACCACTATCGGGTTTGACCTTGAAGACAGTCCCCGTGCTCAAGCAATTCGTAGGCGTCCCTCCCTATACGAGTAGTCTGGTCCCCACTCCGTAAGATTACCTCACTTTCGCGGCTAACAGTAAGTCACGAAGGCGCCTGCCCTAGTGCTCCGCCACCGAAAGGCTCAAAAGGGCAGGTTTCCTGCTCAAAAATTCGTTTTTACAGGCCGCGGTTTTCGTTTTCTTTTTTCTTTGATAGGTAGTGTTCTTTGGCGAGAGGTTAGCGAAGAAACACCAGAGTGGCAGAAAAACCTTCCGCTGCTACAAAACGAGATGGTACGGAGATCTCGTCCGGAGAGCTGCTAGTTCCATATTTGAGGTGTTATATAGGTTCGTAATCGAACCGGCGCTATCTCGATATCCGAAATCGCTGTGCTTTATCTTTAACCGCGTTCATTGGCTTCTCGACACCGCACATTGCGTCCAACCATCGGAACAACTTTGATCGGGATGCCCCTTGTCGCCATCGAGGGACGTCATTCACTCGGTTATGTAACATTTTTTGCAGGTTTTGCTTTCCCATAGCCTCACTCAATCTGAAACACAAAAGAATGAAGAGGCAAAAAATGAGGCTTAGTGAAAGAGGAGGCACGAGAAGTTTTCTTGGAAAAGACTAAACTGAATAAAAGTCAACACTTCGAGGCAGGGCTCGCATACGGGTAGTACTGTGTACCAGCAGAGGCAGGGTCCAGATCGCTGAGATATCTAGGCTTAGGTGCCAGCGACAAGTACTGTTATTTGATGAAAGAATAATTTTTCTGTGAAAACATGCTGACAGTGCATCGCTCATTTGTGGTGGAATCCCGAACCCAGAGCAGCTCGATAGCTAGCTACTGTTATCATGTTTCTTGCACATGGTCTTTTGGTCTTGGTTGCTTCTTGTTGCAACAGACGTTTTTATGCGTTCCTCATTTGTTCGCAACGCATTCGTTCTATGTAATACGTAATGAGCTCGTAAGGAAGTGTCCCATCGGGCCAGTAAATGTTCCATTCTTTCTGGCAATGTTAACTTTTGCTACTATCAGAGTAATTTTCACGGTAACCCGCTCATGGGCAGAAGGCAAGTGTTACATTCCCTTGAGTGATCACATAGCATATTACTCCTTTTACAATCCCTTGGTTCACGACAAAAACTAAAAATTTGTTCGAAATAATAATCATCTCTTCGAGAAATTGGGCAAGACAATACTTTTGTCTATGTCAGAAAGCTACAGTGGCCAGTAGATTCTCCTAGCCCTACGAATCAGCTACCCAATCCGGTTTCGGTCCTTTCTTTTTGAGATTTTTTTGAGCAGATGTGCATTCAAACTGATCCTATCCTTCTACTCGTTTGAAATCCTGAGGTGTTCACTCGGCAATCGTTGTGGTCTAACAATCATGGCGGAATCGATGATGTCCGGTCATAACTGGCTGTGGTATGGCGAATGCCGCTAGCAGCGTCGCGCTTCCCCTGTCTTTCTCTTTGAATACCATTCTCTGTGTCAAAAAGCTCGAGCGGCTTTCTCGTTTGGAAATGTACGTGAGGGGTTCTACGGTTCCGGGGCGTGCACAGTACTCTTACAAGAAAGGTCTTTCAAGTCGTGGCGCGGTTTTTGGAAATGGCTTGTTCCCTTTCGTAGGGGTCCATGCAAGGATCACAAAATGGGTTTCATTTTTGCTATGCGTTTCGGTGTTCAAAAGCGGTGTGAAAAGAATTTGACAAGAATGGGCGACTTCAACTATCCTAATGGGCTACGTTCTTACTGTAACTTTGGGCATGCATAGTTTATGAGGTGCTCTTCAATTAGGCTTCGAAGACGGCTATGAATAAAGTCATATGTAAGTATCGTGCAGTAACACACTTGGCATGTACCGACGCAACAGTGATGTTTTTGTCAGCGCTCTCCTCATGCTCATGTCGGCGGATCGGATGGCGCAGCAGATAACTCGATGGATTCTGATTGGTACTTATAAGGGACTATTTATATAAGGAACTTTGTGGATAGGATCCCGTTGCGGCGAGCTTTTTGCATTTTTCATTTTTTGTTCTTTCGCGTTCCTGTATGTCTAATGCCGTTTGAAGGCATATTCTTCATTCTGATACCTCACAGACGAGCTCGATTGTGTGGAGAGGCCTGTTTCCGTGAATGTTCCCGTCTCGTTACGTTAACCTTTCCCTTCATTGATTGGGAATCTTGAAACTGTGGTAAAGTCCAATCCATCGAGTTATCCCCTGCGCGATCCGATCCGCCAGCAGTGAGCAAGAGGGGAGCGCTGACAAAAACATCACAGTTGCGTCGGTGCATGTCGAGTGTGTTACTACATGATACTTGCATTTTGACTTTATTGAAAACTGTTCTCGAAGCCAAATTAATGAGCACCTCATAGAGTGCTGCATCATGCTTGAAGTTAACAATCAGTTACAGTTACGGGAGCCCATTAAGATAGTTAAAGTCGCCCATTCTTGTCAAATTCTTTTCACTTAATTGTTGACCTCCCCAGGAATGCATAGCAAAAATGAAACCCATTTTTGTGATCCTTGTATGGACTCTTACAACAAGCAACAAATCATTTCCAAAAAGCGCCGCCACGACCTGAAAGACCTCCCTTGTTATGGTCTAATCTGCTCTCCACATCCCTTTACATCATCTGTTTTTTCTTGGTGCGCCTCATGCTCACCGAAAATCGTGTTATTCAAATGAAGAAATTAATTGTGGATGGTGTCAAGAAGGCCCAGTTCCTTGTGTGGCTCGTCTAACAGATTGGAGTCTTTCTGACAAAGTTTTCAAAAATGAATACTATAAGTTTCTAGGATATCGATTTGGTCGAATTCGCGATCTCATCTTGAAGTTGAACTTTTCAGACGACCAGTTGGACTTTGTGCTCAAGAATTTCCAGTAGAAGATGTTGCACCGTTATGTATTAGCATGGGAAGCGAGCTAATGCGAATCAGTCTTTCAGGCTTCACTACCCTCATCTTCCAGAAGTCATTCGACAATAACCGTCCACTCAGGTTAGTTCGGAGTGAACATCTCTCATTTCATATTCACGTATTTGAAATACGTCATTTATGACAAAACGAAATGTCCTCAAGTCTAATGTGATTTTAGTCCCGGTTTTTGATAATGAACTGAGGACCCGTTCACATAAAATTCATTACTATGCTTTCGCTGTACCAACAACTTCGGAATCAGAAATCACCCCAATTTATATAATTCGCTTTGTTCTGTTTGTTTGTTTGTTTGTTTGTAAGTTTGTAAGTTTGTAAGTTTGTCTGTCCGGAAATTCGGTTCGACCTGAAGAACGACTTGGAGAGGTCCAGTCAAGGTGGGGATAGGTAGGGCATGGGACAAGAAATAAAAAGCACACTTGACCTATGGCAAGCCCCGCCCACAGTGGGCGGGGCTCGCCGAAAGTTTGGGGTTCCGCAGAAAAATGTTCATAATTCGCTTCCGGAGCAGCTTAAAGATGGGGAAAAAAGGGACTAAGGTTAGTAAGGAGTCGCCAGACTAACTGTGGCAGGTACACCCTAAATGGGCGTACTCAAGGTGGGCGGTGCTTCTCGCAAAATTCAGTAACCCGGTTCGCGAGAGTGTTTGGAAGTCGCAAAAACTCAGTGTAGAATGTAAATATCCGGCGAATATAGGGCACGCTCAAAGTGTGTTGAGACCCGCCCACAGTGGGCGGAGCTTGCCCTAAAGCAGGGTATTCATTTTAAAAGTTTGTAGCTCGGTTCCAGAACACTCCAGATACCGGAAAAAAGTGGATTAAGTTCAGCAGAGGGTCGTCGGTTAAGATTGTGGGGCAAAAAACATTGTGGGCGGAGCCAGACAAAAGGTCTGTAAAACGGTTCCAGAGCACTCCGAAGACCGGAATAAAGTGAATTCAGGTCAGCAGGGTCGTCCAATTGGAGAAATGTTGGGTAGACATAATTTGTGGGCGGGGCCAGCCCGAGGTGGGCGGAGCCAGACGAAATTCTCTAAAACTGTCCCAGAGCACTTCAAAGACCGGAAAAAACGTGGATTAAGGTCAGCAGAGGGTCGCCGGTGAGGATTGTGGGGCACAAACATTGTGGGCGGGGCCTGCTCCGAGGTGGGCGGAGTCAGACGAAGAATCTGTAAATGCTCAAAAGTACTTCAGACACCGGAAAAAAGTGGAGTACAGAACAAAAGGCGGATATCAGTTGAGTCTAGAAATATGTGAAAGAAAATACGCGCGGCGAAGCCGCGCTCGCCCGGCGCAGCCGGGCCGTATCAGGAGGCGCGCCGGCGTTAGCCGGCGAGCCCGACTGGTATAAAATCAAGCAGACCTATCACAGCAATTCTCGACAAGAATTAATATGTTGGGAGTAATTAGCAAGCTTGGTAGGTTTTAACATGGATCGGGTCCCTTTCTCAATTGTCTGAATGTGTAATAAATTATTCCGTCGGCATTGCGTGCGTTTCTGGGGGTTTCTTCATTTCGTTGTCTCCGGCTTCACTCTTTCCCAATTCTTGGTTATGTAAATAGGATACCTTGGTTATGATTCAGCCAATATCTGGCTGGCAAATGATTGTGTTTGGAATTTTTATGCTAAAACAAACCTCACCCATTGACCATCAGATTGGAAGTCGCGTTGTTATTGACGTAGCATCTTCAGTCGATTTCATCGTTTCAAGGCGTCAGCTAACATAATGCTAACACACTGTAACATACCAGAGCAAATGGAACACTTTGGTCGTTTTTCCCTAGCTGTGAATTCTCTCGTTTACTTTTATTACTTTTGCAACTGTACTCTTTTGCGCACCGAAACTAGAAATTCTTTCAGACGACGAACAGGACAACGTGGCCAAGGCAGAGGCTCCTGATGAGGATGTTCCCCAGAATGAGCTAGCTAAGAATGAATCAGAGGTAAGTAGCGCTAGACCTGTTCGAAGATATGTGAGTTCGAAAAAGCAACTTTCAGCAGAGCTGTATAAGTTCGTCTTCTGCTCCACATGAAGAAACCGTTGAAGTGGTCGCCGATGTCCCTTCAATTGCATGGAAAAAGGTATGAATTAGTCGAGACACTGAGGATTTCCTACAGCGCGTCAGACTTCGCGACGGCAGCGCTTCGGTCACGCGTTTGGCGCGATCGATGCGCATGCTTTCGACAGCATCGATCGCGTCGAACGCGCGACCAAAGCGCTGTCGTCGCGAAGTCTGAACGCTGCCTGCCGTTCAATACTTTGCGCAACAGTGATCAAAGCATGACGTCGCGGAAAATAGCCCGGTCGGTACGATCTCCTTGAAGGGGTGTCCACACGTCCCACCCCCCACTTGTTGATTGTCGACGTACTTGCCCTATTTCTGTAGCTGTTTCGCGCGTTATGAGATAGCGGTGCTTAATCGCACTAGGTTCAAATTAAACTTCCCTCTTTAAAAAGTGAGTAACTTCATCTACAAGCAATTTTTGCAAACATGAAAGGCATATTATTGACATACTGTTGAGGCGATTCTCCCGTCGTGGATTTTGGTCTGAGAATTTGCTTCAGCTGCTGCAATCCGGCTCCTTCATCACATTGCTGATATTTCCATCTATAAATCTTGGAAAGCTTCCAGTTCCCTCTTCTCTGTAATGGGAAATAGGAGTTGAAGGACATGTGCTTTGAGCAACCTCTGTGGATGCGGGGTAAATGGCTTCCATTAAATTACTCTAGCGTGGCCTAGTAAGAATTATGACGCTACGGCAACAACTTGTGATCCAGTCATAGATTTCTTGTCTGATTCCGGACAAGTGTGCTTAATAGCTGTGGCGTAACCAGTTTCATTTACACTAAAAATATTCTGCTCTTCCTAAGACTGGTATAGACAGTGCACTCTGCGGCCAAACCCAGAAGTGACGGCATCGTCTTTCAATCCCACATCGCCGTAGACCCAACGTCCGCTGATTCCCGCAAACATGCCCCGACCCTGTTTGCCAATGTGGAAGCTCACTAACTGAAAATCCCCCTAATCAGAAGATTCAGCGTCAAAGAATTGGAAGGCAATAGATGAATTACGCCTTTCAGCGAAATGGCTACTACTCTCTGAAAGACAATTCCCCGCGATCAAGTGTTACGGGTAGTAGATGCTCAGGAATGAAACAGTATCCCTTAATAACTCCCCAGTAGAGGAAGAAGCAAAAAAACTTTGGGACTATCCTGAACAGAGACATCTTCAGCAAAGTGTTCGGACGGCGAGTTCATCATGAGGACGAGCCCAATCGGCAGGATACTACGTGGAATCGTTTCCCGGTAAGAGCATATGTTATTGCCGCGACGACGCTCCAGGCAACGCTATGTACACACGCAATTCCGCTTGTAAGCCGTTGTCTTGCAGAGTGAAAGTAATCGTGGTTGCAATGGTTGCAATAATCACGCGTCTCTAACTTCTCTTTATCTCGCCGTTTTAGCAAAGTAAAGAAATGTTATATTCTATGTGAATGCGGACTACGAATGCCAAATACAGGGAGGCATGTTCGCGGACCACTTGATCGCGGGAGCTGTCTTCAAGATTAGCCGGAAACGGTAGTAGATGGTGCTATTCGACTCCCATCTAACTCTTGGTGTTAAGTTATCCGGATTCTCGGGTTCATTCCTTCGTACCGATTCAATTTCTTTGCCGTTTATCCTGGGCTAGTGGATAATCCACATTTGCAAAGTACGAACGCAGTCTTACATATAAATAAGGTTGTCTATAAAAAAGTCACCAGCATCACCTATGTTATTGCAGGGAGTGAAACGCTCGGCAGAGGCCTTGATCGATAAAGAAGTGGAGAAGTGCGCCGTTGATGCGAAAGAGGAAGCAGGAGGAGACTGTGTACTTTCGAGTGTAAACAACACTGCTTTACCACCATGTACGGATGACGAGGTTGCACTCTTTTCCGACTCGGATGTGGAATGTATTGCCATCGAGGACAATTCAGGTATGTTCTTAAGTGGGAGTACTTCGTGCTCTATATTAAATTTAGCATTAACATAAGCTACCGTCGCGGGCCTGCATCACCTGTTCTCCCGTTGATCATCGAGTTCTTCGAGCGAGCGCCAGTAACGTCTCCATTCGTCCCTGCAACGTGCAAGTGTTCGCTTGACATTCCTTGGAATCCAGTCGTAATTGCTGTTATCCAGCGGCATCCCAGAAACTCATGACGTGCCCGACCCGCCTGGTCTTCAGAACCTTGACAAATGCGGCTGCGTTTCTGATCTTCAATGGCGCTGAATGCGGAGCTCCGGATTCCCTCTCTAACTTGCGTGCAGCGCGACAACTCGTAAACAGCAAACTTGAAGCATCGCCCTTTCAATAGCGCTACTCATCCTGCTTTCGTAGACTCCGTATTTCCGAGGCTTACGTTAAAGCAGGAGGGACAGCGGTAAGAAGAGGTGGGCTCAGAGCCGTGGGTTCTTCGCCTTATTCTCCACTCCCTCGATGTTCCCCAAGCTGCTAACTTCCTCCTGCTCCGGTCTGGTGCTAGGTCGTTTTTGATTTCATGGCCTAGCTAGAGAGAGAGAGAGAGAGGAGAGAGAGAGAGAGAGACCATTCAGAAATGTGCGTTCCATAGAGCGAATAGGGCATCTGAAACCAATTCGTGGGTACCTGTATTGAAGCCAATGCTGGAGAGAAAATTGTGATCACCCTGGGTTCCATCCATACGGATTTCCTTAGGTTTCTCCAGGTTCGCGTGGTACATCTTGGGGGGCCTTATGCAGTGTGCCACTGGAATCACGGCAAAGCGTTGATATGGTCACAAATGGTGAACACTAAAACTGGTGACTTTACTCGAAAATTTTGCTTACCATATTAGCCAGAACAACTTTCAGCCAACTGTTCTGTATGTTCGTAATAATTTGGGTCAGCTGCGAGTGCATTAGACCATGGTCACAAAAGATCTTTGTCGTCTATCGTTCATAGGAGAGATGAAGTTTGGGTGTAGAAAGCAGCGCGAAGGTGTACGTTGAAATCGAGAGGCAGATATCTTGGGAAGCTATAAAAGACTTTTTTGTGTGTATACCTGCCCTAAAGTGTCGCTTTTAACCAACAGAAGCCCTTCCCTGCACAAGGTTCACAGTCGTTCACGTTCGCGACTCGAAAGTACTTGATAAGAACGCCGGGGCTTTGCCAGGATACAAGCTCTCCACCTTCTCCCTGCCCTCCCAAAAGTTTCACTGTCCTGCGGTTTGTGTCTCCGGATGCCCATAAAATGCTTACGACCAACAGGGGGTCACTATATTTTGTTTTTTCTTTCTTCCTGTTGAGATACTGAACGCCTTGACTATTCGTTATTTTATTTGTTTAATTTATTTATTTATGCATGCAGCATGGGTGCGCTAACATTATGAAGGAAACCAGATAAGTTAAAAACAAGATAAGAAAAATAACGCGAACATCTTTATTATTCAAACTTGCAACCCAATACTTCACAACGGAGACGCCTGCAGACCCTAAACTTTCAAAATCTTGAATGCCCACATTAGTCCGGTATGATCAACTTCCGTTTTGTCTTTTAAGTATTCCTCTACGCAAGAGGTAATGGCGACCTTTCTCAGCTCTGATGGCAAGCCATCCCACCAGAGCTCAGAAGGAATGTGATTTTAACCCATTATACAAATTGCATGCTGTGAATGAAAACCGGGATTCACTAGCACGACCGCTGTACTTCCGTGACTGACTGCGCTGAAAATTAATGAGACTATTTGATGGGGTTCTAATTTGACCTATCTCCTCTTACTTCGCTAATGAACAAAAGACTTTTTGAGCTTTCCCCGAGTATAAACTGAGTCCCATGTCCTTTTTAGGGTGAACCTGCTCACGTATAAAAGTCTTGCTTATCCTCTTTCTTGTTCTTAGCCCGGATTTTCTCTTTTATGAAACCCTGCGTACTGCTGTTATCAGTGCAGGGCTATCAGATCCAATGCTGATATGTGAAGTAGTAGGTGTACGTACAATTTGTCGTCTGATTTTTGGGTATATTACACTTTAACTGACTTCTGAGATCAGCAAATTGTTGATCCACTGCAAGGGGCCGCTCCTCTTCCTCTGCTTATTTTACCATCACTGGCGTTTGAAGCAATGTTCTCAAAATTCAGAGGGTGGTGACGTTTCTCAGGCTGCTTTCATGCTTTGCGGCGAGAGAATACGAGAATTGGCGATTCGAACTTTTCGGAGAATGCGTGCCTAAGGAAAAAGTGGGTATCTATTGGGTCCGGTTTAGACTAGTGTAGAAGTCTGTGTGAATAGGCTTGATTAAATTAAAATCTGTAACCTCACTGCAGAAATTTTTTTGCGCCTGATCACGCAGTCTGCTACCGTCCTGCTCTCACCTGCGCAGATCGACACCCATCTGCTTTTTTTGTGCGCATTCTTGTAGGAACTTCTATTCTCCGATTCTCCTATTCTCCTGCCGCAAAGTATGGTCCTGGATTGTTAAAAAGTAAGTTGCGTTGATACTCTGCGATTTGTGTGACCGCGTGAATGAATTCGCTGCTTGCGAGTAAACCGTTCTCGCAGTGAACGACTACATCGCGAAGTATGAACGCTTTCCTATTCGAGCTGCTTAGATACTTCACTTACCAGTAGATTGCACATCACAAATATTCATTATTCCAGTGGCTGAAGATGAAGCAATATCTAGTAAGCGATCACGCCTGGGAAAGCAGGATACCACTGCGTGTGTTAATGATTCAAATGTCGTGGATATAATACAGATAGATTGAATACAGGACGCTCTTTTCGAATTTATTTGATTCCTTCAGTATGTGATGTTTCTTTATAACCTGTGATTATCTGAAAATGGAAAACCGTCCAGCAACTGCTTGCGTTTTTTCCTTTTTACTTTGATTGCCAGTACTCTTCTAAAAGTACATCAGCATATCTGCTCATTTTATGATGGGTCTCATTTTGTTCAAAAAATGTGCTTGCATTGATTCAAGGATTAGTACACAATGGATGTTCTCGTGACCTTGGAACCACTGCTTTCCTTGTGCTGTGTTCTCATCTCTTTATTTCCACGGGTTTCCTTCTTCCAACATTCATTGTTGTTGTTTTTATGCTAAGTGTATTTTTTGTGTTTCGCGGAATATTGATAAATACCTCCAAGTAAACTTCTGTTCCACTTTCATTTGTGTTGCGACCACATGCATTTATGTTGCGAAGTATCTCAGAATTATCGGAACGACGGTTTAGCTTGGTGTTATGGTAAAAATTGCCTTTTGCTGTGCTGTGTAGTCCTACAGTTGTCACTCGAAGGAAAAAAAAAACTTTTTTTTGGCAGAAAGCCGCACTGGTTCCTTATCGAACTTCGCTCGTTCCTTGCCCTTTCTTGAGGAAAGTATCGTTCTCGTAGCAGATGCTGGCAAGAAATTACTGCTCTTTTTTTGGCCGATTTCAACAGGCCCGACTATTCTTTTCGCGACATGTTTATGAACCTCGTCTCATAGCGAGAAATCCTCAAGGACCAGATAGTGAGGATTCATTTTCAGAACTGCAAATCATAGTCCACGTTTGTAGCTCAATTCAGAAAAGTCTCTACCTGTTGATCCTTTGAAGCCTGTGGTTTTACTTATCGGTTGGGCTGGAGCAGAACATGAACAACTGGAGAAGTTCAGCGACATATACACTGAGCAAGGGTTGGTACCATAAACACTACTTTCAGATTTTTTTGGCGCTGTGTGCCTCGGTAGGGGTTGCCCTCTAACATGCAAAGTCACTTTATGCTCTCAAATGTCAGAGTCCCGTCAGTTGTTGACTAAACCGTGGTAAAACAGGCCGGGCTGTCTCGATAAAAGTGCGTTCATACTTTGCCTCAGCGCTGAGCGTGTGGCAGCGTAGCTGACCGACTAGGAAATAGGTATCGAACTAGCATTTTGATTTCCTGAGCCTGTGTTAGATCGCCTATGTTTCCTGGTCGCTGCACGGCTCACGCGGTGCCCTGAAATGTTGTACGCTGACGCAGTATCTCCCTGCTCTGAGGGGAGATGGCTTACTCGGAACATTGGATCAGCCCAAGCACCGAGAAAAACCTGGGCTAAGCCCAAGTGCGCGCTTTCTAATAGTTTTACATGCAGTTTTAAATTGCACATGAAAACTTTCTTTGCTCAAATCAAGTACGCCTTGAAATGCTATTCTAAAAATGAAGTCTTTTTGGTTAGACTCGTTACCAAGGACAGAATTTTTGAAGATTATTGCGATGCGGCATGCCGCTGCCACTCTGATATTGGACCGGTTTTCAAAGTTTCTATGCTTGGGAACAACATAGGTTTCTCGAGAGTTATAAAAAAAGAAGGGGGCGAATACCCAGACAGGTGTGGCTTTGTTTCGATGGGTCGCAAAGCACTAGAGTCTTTGAAAACCAGTCCAATATCAGAGTGGCAGCGGCTGCCGCATCGCAATAATCTTCAGCATTCTGTTCCGGTAACGAATTTAATCAACAAACTTTATTTTTTAGAATAGCATACCTAGGCGTACTTGATTCTAGCAAACAAAGTTTCATGTGAATTCAAAACTGCATGGTAAAACTATGCGAAAAGCACCGATTGAAGCTTGTTTAGAAGTTTTTTTTCCGCGACTGTAGACGGTGAAAAACGAAAAAAAAGTTGGCAGAGATTTTGTCCCTTGATCCTGCCTTGCTATGGTTCTGCAAAGCAATTTCAAAAGACGAACAACCGTAGGATCAGTGGATGAGCTTCACGCCCATTTTTCTTTTACCTCTCTGATTCTGGACTTTAATCACCGGCATTCCATCATTCTAAGCAGCCCGTGGAGAGCGCTGTCTATCGAGGCATATGAAGTCTTTTTCCTGATTGACTTCTTGGTCATTTTCTTCCGCACGTGGTGGAAGATTCCCGTGAATACTTGCTAAATTTTCGTTTCTACAAGTGTGCAGTGCAGTGCGCCTCTGGTTTCAGGTATCGAACAGTTTCTTTTATTGCTCCATGTTATCACTACACAACACCAAATGCACGGAACGGTTTTTACCTGTCACCTGTGTTCCGAGGAATTGATGCTAAGACCGGAAATTTTGAGAGTTTTAAGCACAGGTGGGTAATTAAGAAGGAGTTTTAATTTGGTTTTCATTGAGCGTTTTGCATCGCGTAGCTTAATAGTTCTCTCTCGCGTGAGCTCCTTAATCCGTGCTTTTCCAAACATTTTCGAAGGTATTTTGAGCATTCAGCTAAGCCCTAACATGCTTCAGTGGCGGTGGCCCGTCTAGCTCCCCCTATTGGGCAGAGGCTGGGCAGTTCCCTGACGACCAGAATCGCTGTGACCGTTTCGCGGAGCAGGCGTAGTTACGCTGCCGCGTTGCTCCCTCTCCTATCTCTGGGACGACTTACACACTCTATTAGTCCTTCTATTGGAAAGGGAGCGGTTGTGGTTGTTCACCTGCTTATCGTTCACCAATTTCAGTCCTCTGATATGTCACATATTCTCAATGAATGGTGTAAGATGCCTAATATCACTATGGAAATGGACCGAGGCGGAAAGGATGACACATCTCAGACAGCGAATTAAAGGCCTAATTTTTGACAGGTTCGTCATCCTTCTGCTGTAACTTTGGAGTATGACCTATACCTCAGTGCCTCGTGTATAGTTCGAACATGACTTTTTTCCCTTTTTTAGTGCTCCCGCTCGTACGAGGGCTGGCCCGGATTCTCTTGCTGTGGTCCTCTCCACACCGCCCATGGAAGGGCTTAGCTGGGTTAGCACGGAGACCAGACGCAA